CCTGGTAGCTGCACTATAGCTACCCTGGGTCTCTATACCTGGCAAGGTGCCAACTACACCTTTCCATTCAGATGATGCAAATGATGCAGATTGCATTTCTTGCATCACCACCCCTCAAAAATCACCTCCAACACAACCTCAAAAAACCTTCCCTCGAAGCACCCTCCTCCCCCAGCATGTGCCGAGTTTACGTGTACCTTTCCCGGGCCACCCCCCCAGACCCCCTAACTACTCACTTCGTTCGCCAAACACAACTCCGCTAGCGCCTTCTACGAAGGCTGGCTTTCGTAACATGCAAAAAACCACATGAAAAAAATTTACAATCCAATCCCGGAGTTTTGTTGATCTGATCTGGTCAAGTGTCTACAAACGTATTAATCAAGAGTCTATACATCGAACATGTAAAAGGAACATGGTCTTTCCAGGCATGCCACCCACTTCTGGGAGGGATCCTATAACATGAGACAGTAAAACACGTATGGCGTGCGAAGTCGCTGCAACATGTAGCAGCCATCAGAGACCAAGTAGAATCTGAATCAGGAATCCGCCGGCCTGCCGGTGTGTCTTGTGGATGTTCTCGTATTGTACTTGTATTACATTTGTTCTATGCTATTATTGTCTAATACTCCTATAAAAGCTGCTCATCCTTGCAAAGGTTCCTCCGCGCGGATTTTGGGTTCGACTAACTTGACCACCCCCTCACACCCCTCCCCACGTCGTCGTCTACGCCGACGTCGTTGTTGTCGTCGTCGTCGTCATTTGGCTTATACGGTTTGCACCCCCACCGTTTACACCAAAGTTCTACACCAACCAACCGTTGACACCAAACCACGGCTGACACCAACCACCGTCTACACCAAACACGGTTTACAAGAACCTTGGTTTGCACCAAGCTACAGTTTGCACCAACCACCGTTGACGCCAAACCATTGTTTGCACCAACCACCGTTTACATCCAACCACGTTTTACAACAACCCCAGCTTACACCTATTTCTAATTTGAATTATATATCTCTTCCCTTTGACTTAAATTTGTTTTAGTACGGGATCATTTCATTTATTTATTAAATTCTTTCTTGGAACCTGGGATGAACTTTAGGGTTAACTTAAAATTAGAGTTTATTAACAAACATATCAAGATTTGCAACCTCCGTTTATTAATCAAAATTCAACATTATATGCTTCTAGTTTGTTCTTGGTGGTCATGTTTTCCTGTTCATTGCAATGCTCGATCTTGGCAGAGGAAGCTCATGGTTCCCAGCCTCACCCCAGTCCTTCCGCTACACCCCTATACGGCTTGCCCCGCTCTTCCACCAAGCCATCTCTCTCTTATCACCCTACGATACGAGGCCCTGGCTTGTGTTGTTCATCCCTTCACCCACACCAACCTCTCTCAACATCACCCCACCCACGCAATCCTCCTCCTTTTGTCCGGGCGATCTCTGAACTGTCAGCCTTCCAGTTCCTTTTCAAAGTCCTCGTTCCTGGAAGCTCCACTGCGTTCAGCTGAGGTTTTGGTGAAGACTGCTGCGTTCGCGAAGCGGTCTTGGTGAAGAGGAAGCAGGCTGCAGAATCCGCGAACCCCCTCGGAAGGCATACGCCCCAAAGGGGTGCCGACGGGCCACTGGTGCCATGCCCCAGGTCCGCCTTCCTTTTCACGCGCCCGGTCAGGTCGCACCATCGGGAATTCCGCACGCACGCGCCACCCAGCAGTCATGAATCACCTCCACCTCCCGTTCTTGGAGGTATTTTTTGGCCACCTTGGGCGTCATTGCGCCTACACGAGCCCCCAAAGAATACCCCCTAGAGGATGTGCTCTGCACATAGTCCAGCGCCTCTGTGGCCCAGTCTCTTCCCCCGTTTCCCGCCATCTGCCAAACGCACGTGGCTTCGGTCCAGCCGCTCGTCTTGCACCGTCAGCTCCCACGCGGCGCAATTTTCCGCTTCTGTGAGGGGGTCATGCCTGACCTGTCCGCGTGCCGCCACGCAGCAACTGGCAGGTTGCCCCCCACGCCTGGGATGGCGACGACCAGGGCCATCTTCACCACCCAAGGATGCGACAAACAGGCAGGGTCGTGGAAGTAATGCGTCGTGCCGTATCTGGCTGCCATCGCGAGTGATGTCGTATATATATATATATATACCTCAATCCTCCGGCTGTGCCCTATTTCAGCCTCTGGCAGAAACATCAAAAATTTCTGCCTCTCACCTTGGTTTCAGCCTCTTAAACCAAAAACTGCCTCTAGCAATTTTGGCTCTTTCCATGTTTAGGCCACATGTATGAGGGACTGCATATGCAACCAAATCTTCTTCAATGCATGGTTTGCGTGCTGTTTCCCAAGATTGAACGTAAGGAAAGCAAAACCCCAACCATCCGGAGGTCCAGCAATGCCAAACCAAACAAGAAGAAATCAACATATTAATCCATGGAATCCATTGACCAGTTCTTCCTCGATCGATGCCCCCATGCCCTCATGCCCGACGCAAGCCAGTTGACCGCGCCTCGGATGCAACCGGACGAAGAGTGAGAGAGGAGACGGAAACAAGAATGGAGAGGGATGACAAAGATAGGAGATAAACAATTAAGAGATGGAACAAATATACGAGTGACACGCACGCACACCCACACACACACAAATGCTGACTTTTCTCCAAGACAGCTGCAACAGTCACAGATTTCGAGCCCTTTTATGGCGCAAGATCTGCATGCGTGCCTTCACCTTGTATGCCAACAGGGTGTTGGACACACAATTCTTGGCGCTGACCCTGCGCGATTGACGCGCCAGGCGTCCAATGTAATCTTCTGCCATGGAACAATCGAAAGTGCATGGGTTCAACACATACTCATTCCCATTTGACCTTTGTATGAAATCAGCAATGTGATCCAGAGCATGCGCTTTTGGCACCATGCTGTACAATGTGTAGCGCTTGTTTTGAGCAATCCGTGCAAGGTGACCATATGCGGAGAGAAAGGTTTTGATGCTTCGGTGAATGTTGAAGCGACACTGCCTCCTGAGCCACAGGCCATGGTTGTGTATCTTTTGAAAGCTGAGGCCCCCTTGACACCCACGCAGCATCAGAGTCAGAGTGTTGTCTGCCGGATGGCTGATCAGGGCCAGCCCTGTAAACCATTGCAGCCATCGAAGTAGCAAGATCGTGTCACTCCCCTTGCAGCCAATGTACGGAAAAGATCCCTGAGTAGGCATGTGAAGCTTTTGGATGGAGAAAGACCTGAGGCCAGCTGGTGTCTCCCGGTGGGTGTGGCACCAAAGGGCAAAGCTTGCCCATCCTCTCTCCAATCGCGCCTTCAATGCCCGACTCTCGCTTGCGTCAGTTGTATCGTCGAAGTGTCCTTCATGGGCAAGCATGACAATCGTTGATCCGATGAAATTCCTCGCAATGCCCAACCTGAAGATATGAAATGGGTCCCCCCGGAACCACATGCTCGCTTTGCCAGAATTCCAGGGCTCGAAAGCTATTGGTGCAAATGGAGGTATTGCTGTCCATGGTACCTCGATGTGCACTGTTCTTTTCCATTGTGCCCTTGCTGTGAAGTCTTCAAACGGGTACTGGGGCAGCCCTGCCTTGCAATCTGAACAGCAAGCTATCTGATTCACGTGGCCAACATTCTGATAGCTTCTGCTCAACATGCCACACTTGGCAACGTACTCCAAATCGCCTTTGAACCCGAGCAATGCAAATTTGTATGTGCCTTCAGGTCGTTTCACACCATCGGTGCACAACTGTCTCAGGTCTTCCGAAATACAATGCAAGATCGACAGAAGCAAACCTGGAGTGCTTTGGTACTTTTTGCTTGGAAAGGCAGCTGCACAGAAGTGTGTTAGGTAGGAATGGTTCTTGGAATTCAGCCTTTGTGCCATTGGATCATTGCAATCCCTTGCGGAATGTTTCTCTTGAGCACAGCACGTACAAACAAATGGGTCCATAGCAGTGTCAAGACCCAAGACTGGCTGCACGCTGATGCACTCAATTGGTTGGTTCTTCAATGAGCGCCCCGCATCCCCATGTATGATGAGAGGTATCACATACCTATAGTCAACATCAGCGTCCTGAAACAGCAGATGCGATGGGTGTTCCACTCTGTAGGTCCTCCAAAAGCTGTGCAGCAACTGCTGCGCTTTAGGGCCAGGATTCAAACCACCAAGGCAAATCCAAGGATAATGTTCCAGCAAGTGTGCAAACATGTGGGTGGGCTTCAAATACGGAAGAAGGGCAACAGTTCCGTCTTCTTGAAACTGATGGTGTGAAATCGGAACTTTCCTCAAACTGCACAGGACAAACAACTGCAGAATAGATTATTATTTACAGCACCCTGGAAAGAGCTAGAACCAAATAAAAATGCCAAAGCACCGCCGTGACTCAGCGCAAAGCCAAAGCGCTTTACGGTTCGCTTGTACTGTCTAGATGCATTCTTCGCAGACCGTCCCAGCATCGATATTGTAGAGGGATGCAGTGCCTCGTGTGGGTCGCATTGCAGCTCAGCCTGCAAAGCCTCCCCGTGCTTCTGAAGTGTTTGGGCAGGAGCCTGAGGCACAACATGGACAACGTCTAAAAGAAGGAGGCAGAGTCTTAAGATGAGGGCATCCCACCTTTAAACAAATTGGGAACTCACTCTGAAAACATTTGCGCAAATTCATGTGAGCAGCTCCATTTGCTATAGTTTCCACCGCATGATGGAGAAGAGGTCCAGGTGTAAGTGAGGAACTCGATGCACCTGGCTCATGCCGACGCAGCGATACTATAGTCAGTTTGAGGTGCCTTGCGCCCAGTCTCTATCGATCCCAATTCTGATCTAAACAATGGACATTGACGCGTTCAACGGGACCCTGGCTTTTGGCATACACATGCAATGCACAAAGTAGCGCTCACCAGAACTCACAGCTCCCTTTTGCCACCCTGTGATTTGCAATATAGTCTTGATGAAAGATCGGATTGAGTGGATGTTATCACCCACCCCGCAAGGCTTTTCAAGCATTGCTCAATGCCCCAAGCAGAAATATGATTAATGCAGTTGCTTTGGATGCTTGCCCCCACACGACTATGGTCTTGGGTTTGAACCTCTCAACATCAATCCCAATTATTGCAAACACACGGGTCCGTGTGGGAAGAGCTCCACCCGCAACGCCCGAAAAACAAGTCACAAACAGTTCATTTCCCACCCCTAGATTTTTTGGGCTCCTGCTTAACGACCTGCCTTTTGGCAGTCCTAGCAGGGGGGCATTCACCTTCCTCACGCTCACGCTTTTCTTTCTTTTGCTTCGACTTGATTTGAGAGATAAACGGCCTCACCAACTAATAAATATGATCGTTTTGAAACACATGCACAAACACATGCATACACAAAACGGAAACAAATCGGCGCAGACGTTGGGCGCCCTGCTGTGAGCGAGTGGTAAGGTTGAGGGCCTCCGCGCACCTCAGAGAAATCGTTGACAGAACCATGGCGGAAGCAGAAGCTGGGAAGGAAGTGGATGCAGGATCATATCATGATTGACCCCCCAAAAAGGCAGCTATCAAACTCTTGGCCCCTATACCAACCAAACACGGATTACCAACATAACGGAGGACACACAAGGAAGAATGTCATGAAAGTGGGTCGGGCATAGCCTGGTTCTTTTTGGATGTAGAATAATGTAGCCAACACAGCGGCATCCAACATAGGGAATCCGTTATCACCGATGGACCGATGTCTTTTCTTCTCTTGGTACTTCTGGTGGGATCTGGTGGGTGCCTTCCTGCTGTTGGTGAGTGGACACATGAAAAGCAAACATAAGCTAGAACCTCTATTGCACTCAACCCTCATCACTACCAATGGCTTTGGAGGTACTCATTGCGGGGCTGGGCCGGAGCAAACGCAATAGGTGTTTGGGGTTGGAACGACTGCAAACTGGAGTGTCTGAAATTGACTGAAACCCTCCTCACCATCTTCCGCTCAACATTTTTCCTGTTTGGTGCGCTTATTAAATTGGACTTTCACACCTGGAATGAGGCCAAAGCTTGGGGAGAAGGCTTGAAGGGGATTTGAAATCATGCAGTCCAAACCAGCCAAGCGTTGCATAGCTACCTCAAAAGGTTGGAGACACCAAAGGAATCACACCAGTTTGTGGTCTGACAAAACGATGCAAAACCAAGCGACCCGTAAGACTCCTTAAGGGTCCCTTCGTTTCAGAAGCGTCCCTCAGGATGGCCGAATCACCTTGCTGGAGATCCAGCGTGGCTTCAACGACGCTTGTTTGGGTCATGCCAGCCATTGCTTGTTTTATACAATGGCTTTGCAACAAAATGGGCATCAAATGGAAGCGCATTGAAGCCAAACAAAGCAAATCAGAAAACATGTTTATGGGTTTCTTCTGTGTAGTCCAGCTTGGGCATATCTTAGGGAAGGGATAGGTGATGGGTGAGGAAACTGATTCTATTGCAGGGGAGCCCGCAACTAGCTGGCCTGAAAAAGAACCTTTCCATGTAGAGCACCGTGTAGTGCAGAAAGCATTGTCCTGCATACAAACGACCCAGTCGTTTCCTTCCGGAAAGAAGGTAATATTGTAAACTGAGGCACTGTTTTCGAGCTTCTTTGAAGTCAGCCTCGAGCTTGTCCTGATGCCTCAATTCAACATATACTTTCTGAGGGTACAACAGTTTGACAGTTTGGCAGAACAAACATGTGTCTAACGTTTGGTTGAGGCACTCTTTCTTGTAGCCCGCCAAAATACCCTCGGTGCTGGTAGTAGTGACCCTTTCCGTCACTGCCTGCAAGTTCTTCTCAATCTCCCGGGCCCGATCAAGCAACCTGAGCAGGAGGCATGAGATTCTTGCTATGGCTCTTTGTATTCAGTGCAGAAAGCTGAACACATCCATCGGTTTGGTTATGTTGTCACTAAGTTACTGCCTCAGGTTATCAGATAGATCCTCAACGGACTCCAACACCTCCATCATGGATTGGATCTTGACGCCCCACTTGGAAAGACACGTCAACACGCGGGGGATGTAAGAGCTTGCCAAAGCATCAGCGTCGTCCATGACCGGAAAGTTCAAGAGCTTCAAGGTCTTGTGCTGGTTGTCAGTTCCATCAGCTTCAATTAGAATCGTAGGGTCTGACAGGAGCCACCCCGCACGCTGACTATGTAAAAAACAAACAAGGGAGCCCTGCCTGTTGTGTCTTCAGGAAGATCCATGTTTGAAGGCATAGTGTCATGGCCTTCAGCCTCTTTCCTGAAGTCCTCTTCGCCCATGGACTCATCCTCTTCTAGGATTTGCCGTTTCTTTTTCCTTAATTCATTGTCACACACCCCAGTGCAAATCGCTTGGAAATATGAAAGTTGTTTGGGATATGCTGTTGGTTGTTCTTTCAAGATCTTTCAGGTATAATATATAACCCAATCACAGCTTGGGGTCAAAGTCTTGCCATGCAAAGAACTCTCAACCCAGTAGAGCTTGATGTGCTTCTCGTATTTGTCTCTCCTAAGGATCAAGGCGAGATTGGCCATGATCATTGGTGACAAGCAGGAAAGCAGAATGGCTGCAGACCAGGAACCGAATCAACTTCTTGGGATCTCGGGCGCATTCTTGTTTGACCCCTGCAATCCGTGGCCTTGTGCGCAACATGTGCAATAAACAACTGAAAAACATCTAGCGCATCAGCTTTGTTAAGTGTGGTTTGGTAGGATGACAAAAGTTCTTGCTTAGTCACTCCGAAAACTTATCGAGTCTCATGTCTTCTTCCGACATGAAGCAACCATTCACCCATAGATCTTGCTCCTCAATGAATTGCACCTTCTTCTTGCACTTCTTCATGAACGTGTCCTGCACCGATCTATCATTCTCATGTCCAAACACAATTGCCATGCCAAGGAAAAGGATCAGTGGGTTAAGAGTCCTTGTCCCCATTACTTTTTTTCCAAAGCTTCAGAATGGAATCGCGACCCCCATCAGCTAGATCATTCCATTGCTCAAGAATCTCTTTGGGGACTAGAAGGCTACCATCAGCACGCGGTGTCATCATACGCCGCAACTTCTTCATCTCGTTTGGAGTGACCGGAGCTTCCCCACTTGCAGCCTCAGAGTACTGACTTAACGGGTGCAATACAGCTCACGAGAACTGCAATCAAACGCAAAGCTGAGGATTCATATGGTGGCCAAGAGGCTGTGCAAGCTTTGGGGTCTGCTGCATCCACTGGTTTGGGCGCTTCTCCACCAACAGGCTCCTCGCCGCAATGGGGTCGATGTATTTTACATGTGATTCATGCAGCGTGGTAACACAACATTTCTTTAGTAAAAGCGCGCTGGCTTGTTGAAACAATCGATGTGTTGGCACTTTGTCAAAGAACAAATTGAAAGAAGGAAGCAGATTCACACACTATATCATACCCTAGGCTCTCACAGGGTTGTCTCCATCCCAGCCCACCCAAGACCCTAGCCTGCTCCATGGCCTCAATGTCTTGGAAGGGGCTCGAGACCGAAGTGAGCTCCATTGCCTTGGAATAGGTGATGTTCTGCTCCAAAACATATATTGCAGAAACCTATGTCATTTGCAACACTTCCCTCAGTATTTGCAAGCTAAGCTGCCAAAGCAGCATAAGCAGGGCCACCGAGATGGGATATAAATTCAAGCATAGGATCAATAGAGTCCACAACCTGACATTCAGAATGCAAGAGGTATACGCACGTGCTACGTTGGAATTGGCAAAATATGGAATTGGAAACAAAAGGTTCAATGATAAGGGACCATATAGTCATCTTGAGTAAGTGCAGAAGGATCATCATGATAAGAATCCTCAACCTCTATTGGGTTTACCTCCTCACTGGCGGGTTCTGACCCGGCAGGTGGTTCAACAGGTGGTTCAACAGGTTGGGCAAGCTCAATATCAGCAGGAACGGTTTCCTCTTCTGGTCCAGCATCACCTGAATTTACCAGTGCGCGGACTGGTGTAGGGATAGGTGCCACAGGCACAGCCATAGCTGCGTTGCGTGGCTTGTCCTGGACCACAATTGGCGGGGCAAGCTCACCCCAGGCAGGCACAAGTTCATGTCAAGGACTGATTTCTAAGCTCGCAAAACACAACAAGCCTGCAACAATGTCTCCAACTCGGCCAGTTCCCTCTGCAAGTCTTCATCGCTCTTGTCGTTTAAGGTATCCATACCTGTTTCCTCATTGACCAAGTCAACTCCCGCCATCAAAGTCCCTGTTGAGAACACACGGGAGGGAAGATCCATGCGCTCTATGACACCGCCCACGGAAACAAAATAGCGTTTCCTGGCCGTTTGATCAAAAAGCAACAACCAGACCATTCATTCCAATTGGATATATGCACAAATTGCTAGAGTGGTGTTTCCCGTAGATTTCATATGAAAACCAAACACCTTCTCACCCATGTGTTTTTCATATGAAACCCCTTCCATGGTATGGTCCAAAGTGGCACCGGCCAAAACCGCCTCTAACCCGGGCAAAACCGCCGCTAACCCGGGCAAAACCGCCTCCCTACTTTTGTGTTTTCATATGCAAACTTGTTTGTTATATCTTTCATATGAAAACCGTTCATGCTTCACATATGGTTCACCAGCTCCTTTTTCATATGAAAACGGTTGTTTTCTTCACATATGCACTTTTCATATGAAACTCTACTTGTTACCCACACTAGGCCTATAGACAGAGAAGGCCTTCCATGACTATCTCATAGACTGATCATGTCTCGCTGAGAAATCATTTTCTTTGGTGGGCTGCATGAGTGATTTGCTCACATGAAGCCATGAAGCCTCAGCAATTGACGCATGCCCGAATTACTCAGAACACCTCCAGGTTCATGAATGCAGGTGGGACTCTGCACTCATATCCCAACTACTTCCAACTCATTAATGGATGCCCCACACCCACTCGGAAACACTGGAGGCTTTCGCCAGCGCCGGAGACTTTGAGAAAGTCTTCGAATTAAGGCAGGAAAAGCTTGGGAGCGCCTGCCGTTCAAATCTTTGTGGGCAAGACATCCCGGAAGCCAGGTGGAATGACCAGGCGCTTGGAACCCCTGGCATATTTCACGACCTCTCGTAAATCGGCCTCTTCATCCCAGAGAGTTGATTCAGCGCACCATTCCATAGCACCAAAAAGGTCACAAATAGATCCCTGTGGCACCTGGGTTGTCGCTTTCACGTTGTTTGGAGCGTTTTCTGTTTTCAATGACAGACATGGCAAAGGCTACCCATTCCAAGACAGTAACACATGACATTCGAGTTCCCAAAAAAAGCGATGAGCACCTTGACAGGTAGTTTGCAGGGAGGAGCTGCACGGATCTTTGGCACCATTTTAACAAGTTTCGCGGCAAACTTGTACGTGTATTGCCTGGTTCTTGGCAGTGAGTCGTGTGTATGAGTCAACTAAAGCCCTTTGAGAACCACAAAAGCACAAAAGCTACAATATGGCGTCCGGTTTTGTATTGCTGGGAAAACATGTGAAAACAAACGGAGACGCAATGATTTCTGGAAAGGTGCTGGCTTTTCTTCAAGTTGGAATTACCTTTGAAGCGTTGTTTGCCTCTAGCATCTTTGTAGGTTGTCGTTGTTTTTTCCGAGGTCTCTTTCTCCTCTGCAGTCAAAGGCCCAAGGTCCAAAGCACCAATCAAACTTGAAATGCTCCAGATCCAGGTTCGTTTCCAGGACATCGATGAATATTTCCGCATCCAAAAGGCAGATTTAAATGTCTTAGCAGGGGATTGGGCAAGCTCATCTTAGGCTTGGTTTCAAAGACACCCACAGTAAATAGCTTGCAGCTAAGGGTCAGGGATACCAAGAGAAAGGAGTCGTTCAGCAAACCAAATGTATCGAGGGTGTAGGGCGACCAAACTATTCATGGGGTTCTCCATCATGAAGGTTCCACCAGCTATCACCACCAGCCACATAAGAAGGACTGTCCTGATTATGTCTGACCATTTTGCAGGGTAAGCTCTGAAATCTATATACACGCATCAGAACAAGTGACCCTAGCTTCAGAGGCAACAAAGGCCTAACCTTTGTTGGCAATGTGACCCAAGCATCCGGCTGGTGAGCTTATTAGAACGCCTCACCGCAGGAAAGTCCTCATTCCCCAGTGGTGTGAGAATGCTGCGGGATGTGCTGGCTCTGTTGACAGGCACCCAACTGCTGCAAACAATGGCAAAGAAAGCTACCAGGCCCTCAAACTCTCCAGAGAGTACCAAGTGAATGCACAGTCTTAGCCAGCAGAAATGTGATTTGTGTGGGTTCTTAGTTACTGCTATACACGTGTAGCCAAAAATCAAATCGTTTCAAACAAACAAGTTGTAGCCCAGTAGCATCAGGCCAGCATTACTATTCAAATCCATTGGTGGCCTGGATCCCCGTTCTTTCCCCAAAGACTTCCCATACTCAATGTCAATGGCCGCAGCTTTAAACCCAGCAAATTTGGCCATGGCAGCAACGCGGCCCACACCGGCAAAGTATTCCAACACTTGATACGGTGGACCATCTCTTCCGGGTAGATCTAGCCACCAAGTCAGGAGCACCAGTAGAACCACGACCTCGGGATTCAAGATCTGGTTTTCTTTTAAACTCGCACACCAAAAATAGGAGTAACGCATCGACCGAGTTAGTTACACCATGGCCACCATACATTTGACATCCACCCGCAGAAGCTCAGGATTCAACTACATTGCCTATACCGACATCAAGCTTCTCACTAGAATTCCTTCTCAGGCGCCTTCGGGGTCTTCAGCGCAATGAGCCGCTTGACAAAGATGTCGAACTGTGTTGGCGTCATAGCTCTTTGGTTCGTTGACAAAATTGTGGCTTAATGGAAGATATATGTCCTTCAGAGACTTCCACTGTTTTGTGTAAAACATGCTTGCATGCGTATGCGCAGCTTCCCATGATTTCGGGGCAAGCGGAAAGCCACGGACTGCTGCACAGCATTGCACAGCTCACGCACACATGCACTACAACCATGAAGGGCCTGCGCCCTTGTTTCTACAGTTGATGTCTCTAGTGACTAGTGACCTAAGGGCCTCAGGGTCTCCTCACAAGAACTCCCAAACCCTAACAGGCCAGCGCTACTTGCCAACTCTCTGTGCACACCAAACTTTGCCAGGTTGATGCAGCCCCTCCGCAAGCCATACAGCTTTGGCGCCATCGCCTGGCCCAGGCAATTGTCGGGGTGACTGGGAAGGATTGGGATGGTAGGGCCCTACGCTTGAGAAATGGGGAAACCGTTTAACAACGCTCCCAACTCGCAGCCGTGAATTGCAGTCCGGGTTGTTCTTTATGTTTCGTTTTTCTTCCTGTCAGTGCTGCCACTGTAGAACTTCATTGGGTGACCCTCAAAGAAGAATACAATTTGATTTGATGACTTCATGCTCCATCCGCCACCTCTTGATTTCCCCCCTCGGCCCTAGCCAAGCATATGCGTCAAAGTAACACACATGCATGCAGCTAAAATCAAATTGAATGATCACATGGATCCGCTGTCTTTCCAGCCCCTCCATGCCTCAATGATCGCACACTTCCAGTGAGACACTCATACCACCGGCACATACATCATATAGAGGGTATGTGAAAAGGTGGTCCCAGCCTAGCTTTTTTGAGACTACAGTGTTTGTTTAATGGTGCAAAAAAGATGGTAAGAATGCCACATGCTACAGCCGATCTGTACACCCAGAGATTCAGTTCAACATCTCTATCAAGCAAGCCTCTTCCAGGAAGGGTTTGAGCTCAGCGTTGGTAATGCCTTTGAATTTCTCCAACAGGGCATCCGAGTCTCCTGATGGGTCCTTGTTCTTTTGGTAGTTGGCCTTTTCAAAGGCAGCGGTGCACCACTCCCACCACTCAACCTTGCATGGTTTAGAATGGAACACCTCTACACCTTATAAGGATAACACTGGCTATGGTAACTGCTCACCTAGCAAAGCAAATTCGAAGACCACAAATTGTAATCACAACCCCTATCAAACAGCCACGCCGAAAGGAGAACACTAGTTTCAAAACCTTGCCTCTACAGGAGAAGTCTTGAAACCCACCTCCTCGAGAATTGGCTTGATAGCGCTCTCAAACACGTCCCGAACAGCAAGCCATCTCTCCTTTGCTGGCGATGTTTTGGGGCACGGGCGGCGCGCAAAGCTCTTCAAGGCGTTCCGAGGCGCAGCATCAGCACCAGTTGGCTCTTGCTGTTGACATTGCTCCTCAATGCCACCACGCTTGTCCCTGTCCTCCGCGTCAACCGTGGACTGCTTCTTGATGTTCTGGTCCTGGGCCGTCCAATGTTTTTCAAAGTCTTCTATACCTTGTGTTGAAACAGGTCCCCAAACAACTTTGTCATCATCCATGTCCTCCTCTGCCACCGCTGGAAGCGCCTCCGCCTTTCGCTTCGCCTGACGCTTGGGCTTTGGGGCCTTGGGCTGTTCCTCCTGCTCCTCGGTCTCCTCGGCCTTGATCTCCAAATCCTCAGCATCAGAGCACAGGTTGACCATCTCAGCATCCGCCTTCTCACACGCATGCCCTCGACCTGGTCGACCACGACGCTTGGCACATGCCCTCTTGGCCTGAGCCTTGGCTTTGGACTTAGCCTTTGCCTTGGCTTTCGCCTTGGGTTTTACCTCCTTCTTCAACTCGAATTGGCTTTTCCTGCTCACTGGCTCGGGTTCTGGAAGGTCTTCACCATCTTCTGCTCCAAACTGACCACTCTCTTCAGCCTTTGAAGAGCTTGGAGCCTCAGACTCAGTGACAGCGGAAGGCGCACCAGCATGGCCAGAGCTGGCTTGCTTGGCACAAACTGAAGCTTCTTCCTGTTCTTCACACGGGTCAGGGACCTCAGCACAAGGCATTGCATCATCAGAGTCAGCAGCAATGGCTTCGAGTGGGGCACCGGAATGACGTTCTTCGCCCTCAGCAATGGCAGAAGGTGCCAATGGTTCATCATCCACAATGGCAGTAGAACCCGGCTGGGAATGGGCAAGTGGATCAAAGACTTCATTTCCAATCACAGGCTCTGCTGACATTGAAAGAACTTCAGCCTCGGCATTGCCCTGAACAGAAGCAGAGCTCTCCAAATCCTCACTACTAGCATGTCCGGAATCCTTGTTGAAGAAGTCATACGGATCCTCAAGGTCAGAGCCAGGCGCAGGCAAGCTCTCCGCAATGTCCATGGATGGCTTCTCATCAAGTTGCTCACATTCCACCGGCGGCTGGCCAGCAATGATCCGCCCTGCAACTGACATATGGCCACCTTGCAAAGGCTCAGCTTCGCCTAGGGCAGAGGTCTATTTGAACATCCGTGAAACTGTGTGCACCCCTTTGGTTTTAAACACCCATGCGCTCGTGAGCCCCCCCACGCACAAACTTAAGACTATTTGAGCCAGCCAGCCTGCTGCATCAGCCCGCCCAAACTCTGTCTGCAAGGAGCGTTGCAGCACATGGTCGTCAGTCTCCTCAAAGCGCTTGACAGGTGGCAGTGCTGGTGGCTGGTATGACTCCGCCAAAGCTTTGAAAGACACTGCATCCAGCGGCTGTGTGTCGGCAGTATCGCCCACAGCTTTGGCAGCAGCCCTCTTGGCAAGAAGACACCTGCAGCTCAATACTTCCCCAGTGGCAATGCCACATGCGGCCCACTATTTTCTCTATGTTCTCAAAAGGCAAAATCTTGTAAGAGACTCAAACAAGAAACCGTACTTTTTTCGCCCTCTCCATCATCTCAGCAACTGAGAGCCCAGAAGTCACAGGCGGTTGAGCCAGCCCTTCCTCTGCTTGTTTCTGAGGTGTTTCAAGAGAACTCACTGGCTCCATCATGACCAGTTGGCAGTCGCTATCATCATGGTTGAGCGAGGCATCTTCCACTTTCAGCTGGCTCTTCACCTGATGGAGGACTTCGCCTAGCCATTGTGAACCATACGCCCTGAAAACCCAACAGGTTTTGCACATAATTACTTTTGGGAGGTGCCATGTTGAAGGGGTCCCTTGTGAGGTGTCCATGAACACACAGCCAAACACATCATAAGGCCGCCCATCCCCTGCAAACGCTTCTTTGAAGCCAGCCCAAGAGAAAATTCAACATGTTAAGTTGATCGATGTTTGCTTGTTTGACACTCCCCACCTTTGAGTTTTTCCCAGGACTGGCCATGCCATAAGGATCCGACTTCACAGTCATGAAAGCACTGAAATCACTCTCCTCGTCACCGCTGTCCACAACGAAGATCTCAATGGCATGTTCTGGCTTCAACCTCACACTCCAAAAGGAATAGATCACTTCATAGAAGGGGTTCACGGCAGCATCCTGGGAGTGGGCACGCCAACTTCCAACCCGGACACCATTTTCAAAACTGAAAAGAATGTAAAAGACAAAAAACACAAAGACCACATACAAAGGAGCTAAGGCTCTCGTCGGATCGGGCTTGAGGAAGATTCTTTGTCTGCTCCAGATCTCCGAACCCCGTAGCTGAACAACTTCTTCAACCCCCAGGCATCTGCATGGAGAATTGCAGGGTCGTTTGGAAGCTGAAAGATTGCACGTAGAGCTGCGACCTGAACAGGGGCATGTTGCGCATGTTGGCCCCTAACCCTTAAACCTTCAACACATTTTTCACATTAATCAACATCAACCAGTGATAAAATATTATGGACCATGATGGACCCAAATCGGCTGATGTAATATGGTGACATGAATATACGAATAAGCGCAACCAATCCATGGAGCCACATGCACTCCCCACCTCCTTCCTCACTGCATGAACACTAGGACTCTTAGGCCCAGATTGCTTGGGGCACCAATCCTCTGCCAAAATACGAAGGGCGTGGATGTTCAAGGATATGGAAGCCATGGTCGGCTTTCCAACGAGCTCAGGTTTAGGCCACACAACGAGCATACCCTTGGATCGGATCCGGTTTCGGATATGGCGATTGGCCTCCCATTTCTCGGCTAGAGTCACGGGTCCTTCTTCAATGGTCTCCATCTCCAGCCGCAGGTCGCTCGCTGAGTGCTGATCGAGCTGCAATGGATGAAAAACGGCTTCGGCAATCAAAGCTGTTTGTCATCGGCATGCAGCTCACAGTCTTAGAAGGTGGTACATGCACCCACGTCTTCCAGTGGTATACTTATTTTGCCTTTAGGTTAGGAAACATGCCTACTGCAGGGCATAGTTTGCATTGGCACATGCTAACTTTGGCCAGGCTAGCCTGAATGACAAGAATGATCACGAATAGCACCCAGTGGAGACACCTGCCAAGCCGTTGAGTAGTAGCTTGCGAACTTGAGAATCTTGAGCGGAGCATATATCAAATAGTTTTAGAATTATTGTTTCAAAGAAGCGCTTGCAAAGATCTGCTCCACATGATTCTCTCAAAGACATTCCATGGTTTCAGCTTGAGGGAAGAAAAGCAGGCTTGCATCAGGTGAGAGCCCATGCCTCCCAACCTTCATGGAGTCGCTGCTTCACCACGCATGGCGGCCAATAGAGTTTTTGTTTTGTTCAAAAAGCTGGTCCTACAATATCCTATGAAGTGTTCGGTGCGTATTACCACTGTAGTAGTGGTTTGGTTGATGCATGGCTGCAAGCACCCTTTGAAACTTGGGAGTGAAGCAGCGATTGTTCAACCTGACATTAGCTCATGTGGGATTTGGGATCACGTCGAACCAGAGTGGCTGGATGCAGCCTGGCAGGCGGCGAAGAAGGGATGGGATCGGATCGGATCATTCTACCCAATAAAAGGGCCATCAGTGGTCACATTCCGGTTGAAATGTGCTTTTTGCAAATCTTGCCTCTAGGCAAAAATTCA